ATGACGTACTCCCACGACTGTTTGTTTCCGCTCCTTTCAAGATCTCCGGCGCATCAGTCGATGAGACTTTGGCGGGAGAAGTCATTTTGTCGGTTCTGCGGGTGACGGTGACTAAGCCAGCTCTTTACACGTGCTTGGCCTCAAACAGACACAGCGCTGGGGCCAACACTGTCAAAGCAACCGCTCGAGTGACTGTCGCAGGTGAGTATTTAATTCTACATGTGGATCTTCAAACAAAATGTTGGATTTATCTGAGGAGCAGCAACTACTTAACACAGAGTCTTAGCGTTATGTTAGCTGTTTGACGCGGTTTCAGCTGTTTTTTTTGTTTTTTTTTCCGTGGACCATTTGTTTCTTTTTCAACTTCACCGCAGCCCACACACGACACTCACCTAAAAAAATGAAACACACGCATTGGCCAATCACTTCCTGGTTGTTAAGTCCCTCCACAGACCAAGATGCTAAACCTAGGACATGGACAGATGAGGATCACGTTTGATTTTCTCTTCCAAACGAGACTAAATGATATGCCTCCGCTTTCTTTCGTCCCTCTTCTTTTCGTGCTGGTTCACCTTCAACCAACATCTTGTGGACCTTGCCACTTCCCGATAGAATGGAGGTAAGTCATTGCAATGCGGACTTGCCGCAACCCTTCTTGTGTCTTAATCCTTTCAAGTTACACAGTGGATACATTTACAATATTCATTCAATTTCAGTATAACCCTGAAGGATTTTTGGTTTCTGATGTGCTGGGTCGTTCACTGCTTTTTAGGTCACTCAATAATTGTGCTTTGTATTATCTAAGTCAGGGTAGCCATGGACTTTCGAAAGCCCTTCTAGCTTTTCTACTTTGACAAACCCCAGAGTGTACCTTTAACTTTTTGACTTTAGAATGTTCATCTCCCTATGTGAGCCTGTTCTCTTTTGTGGCCAGTTTCATTTTATCTCGCCAATATGACATATCTGATGTAGGAAACTGTTAATCTGTACAGAAACATGCAACAGGAGGCCACACTGGCCAACCGTTTCCTTTTTGAATGACACCTAATCTTAGCGAAATATGTACATGCCTATTAATTATCGGCCTACATTGATGTTGAAGACAAGATAAGATAAGAAAACCTTGATTTGTCTCGCAATGGAGAAATTCCCAATTTCCAGCAGCAAAATTATGAAAGGGAGAAGTAGAAGAGCAAAAGATATAGAAATAAATTAAAAGTATAAAATATAGATATAAGCGTATTAAAAATGGGTGAGTGAGGGTGAGTCCAGGTTTTCACGTATGTTTATTCAGCAGCCTGACAGCAGTCGGTTGGAACGAGCGGCAGTATCTCTCCTTCTTGCAGCACTGGTCTATCAGTCTCTGGCTGAAGGAGCTTCCCAGTGCTGTCAGGGTGGCCCGGAGGGGGTGAGAGGGTCTGTCCATCGTAGCTTTTAGCTTGGCTAGCATCCTCCTGTTGCCCAGCTCCTCCAGAGTGTCCAGGGAGCAGCCCAGGAAATAGCTGGCCCTCCTGACCAGTCGGTTCAATCTCACTCTGTCACTCGTCTGCTGCCTGACCAGCAGACGATGCCATAATGAATGGCTGAGGCCACCATAGATAAAGTTCATATTCAAATAATATTTCTTGTATCAAACCAAATCGTCTGCCTAACCCAGCAGATTCACGCCAAAGGCAGTCTACGCCCTGAACTGGTCGTTATTTCCTAGGAAGACCCATATGGAGGCGGAAAACCATTGCAGTCATACCGTCACTCAATGGGAACAGAACGCTGTTCAACTACGCTGTGTGCCCCAAAGTTGGGGGCATGTACCGCTACACCATCATTGACCCACACAAAACCATCTGGTTTTACTTAGTGTAAAGATGTCGGCGAGAGAATCCGATCCCGATACGCTTTTCTTTCTGTCACTAATATTGACATACGGACAGGGAGCCGCTCCTGATGTCCGCATATGGCGCGAGTTGAATGTGAACTTTTTTCTAGACCTCGACGTGACCACAGTTACCACATGTGGACAGTGAAACTGCAAACTGAGCGGGAGAAACATTTTGTGACTGTATTCAGACGTGTCGTTCTTTGCAATAGTCAGACATATTTACTGCTTGTGTCGAGGCGACTGTACTTTGTACAGCTGCCTGCTATGGTTGTGAATTGGAAACAAAGGAACAAATGGTTCGTGTGATCAGGGCTCAAAGGATAGCGGGTTTGTAAGTGTGCTAACGTATTGCCACATCTGGACACTGGATTCCGACGGAGTCATGGGAAAGGCATTAGGGAGATAACGGTCATGGTGGGATTTGTTAGATTTACGTGTTAGTTTTATGTTGGTGATTTGATTTAATAAGTCACCCCCCCCTAAAGGAGAGAGCATCTGGACTTTGTAAGAGTCACTGTCAATGGCAGTTCAGAAGGAGATCATGTGTGAAGCAAATGCCGCTCGTCACCATTTATCTACACAATCACCAACATTTTTTAATAGAATCTGTTCAAACATTATCCAAGCAGTTTTACAGTATTTCCTTTTCACCTTTTTTTAAGAAAAAAACGTTTTGAAGAAAAGTAAATGAACAATGTTTAAACATTATCAGACAACACCCCGGAAGGGTCGCATGGCACATATAGAAAAACAACCATTCACATGCATATTCACACCGACGGAAAATGTGGAGTCATCAGGCGACCCGAAATGCATGCATTCTTTTGGAATGTGGGAGGAAGGAAGACAAAAGCTATGCAAAAAGAGGGAAAATAATCCAAACTCCACACAGGACAGCCACGGCCATTATTTCAAAAAAAAAAAAAAAAACGTCACAACTCTGATTTAGACGTTCTAACCACTCCCCTCCCAAGGTCATTTTCAAATTTGTCGATTGATGGAAACCGAAATATGGTTGGAAAAATGTTTCTTTTAGAAGCTCCTGCAAACATTTAGCCTGAATGCATGTCTCCTTGACAGACTCTACAAGGGTGTTGCGGGCTTCTGCAGTGCATATCGGGGGGAAGTGTGCCGCACGATTTTAAGGGAAGATTCACTTGTTTTCTTCAACGCCTCTTTGTCTGACCCGGAGGACGTGCAAGAGTACCTGATTCAGAGCTGGTGGACCGAGTTTGAAGGTCTCAGTAAACTCTGTGGCCCTGCAGTGCGCTCACTTCTCTGTCATACCTCTTTCCCAGACTGTAATCCATCAGGGTTGGGACCTGCACCTAAACCTGTCTGCAGGTAACGTATTTCTTTTTCAATGCACATGCCTTCGAATAGCACATATATGTAAAAATATTCAAGAATAAATCTAATCTGTGCAAAAGGAATTTGAATCCATCCATACTCCATCCTCCCGTGTCGGTTTCTAAGTGCACAAATATCATTACTGTATATCATTAGCCTAATAGCACAGTAGCCAGTCATTTTTTTTCAGATTGTTTTTTTCTTGTTTTCCAAAAATGTTCAAATATGACTAGCCTGTATCTTGCTAGTGTTAGCGGATGTAGCAATTTTTTTTTTTTGTTTGTTTTTGTCAGGGTTGCAAAAGGTTGGAAAGGTGGACATTCCCAAACAGTTTTTAATGGTTGCAAACAATTTTTCTAGTCGCCATCACATTTTGAACATGTCGGTTGTTCCTTTGCGACAAGGAAAACTCTGCGAATCTCTTTGTAACCTTGAGCAAACCTTGACAAAAAAGCAACATTCAGAAGCCGTCCGCAAACCTTTGCAAACCATTGGCGCTCAGCGAGAGGCAACTGTCATATTATGCTAGCAAGTTGATTGAATGAATGGCCCGCGCCGAGTCCTGACCTCATCCCATCCAACTCAGAAACACCTGCAAGGTTCCTCTTGTTCGACATCAGTAACCTTTGAGAAATGCTTTTCTGGATGAACAGCAGGCAAAGATTCTCAGAGTCATTAAAATCTTGAGGAAAGTCTTTCAAAAGCATGAACAACACCAGTGTAGCTTCCTTTTTTTTCCTTTCCATCCTCCAAAGCCTTGCGGAAAGTCTCCCTGGATGAGTGAATGTTACAATTCAATGTTCTCTCTCCAGTTTAGTTTCCTGGAGATGTGACAGTTAATATTTTGGTCAATATTAAACTTTGTTGTTTTTTTTTTCAACAGGGAGCATTGCCTTGCAGTGAAGGAGCTGTACTGCCATAAGGAATGGTCGATACTAGAAGGCAGCATGTCTGTCCAGCCTGGACTCTTCGGTTCAGCCACAGACTTCCACACACCCCGTTTGTTGTTGCCCAAATGTCAAACTTTACCCAGTCTCCATTCAGACCCTCAGGCTTGTACTCGTGTTCCTTTCGTGGGTAAGTTGTACGTTCATATAGCAATGCTAAACCTTTCCACAAACAAATGTTCTTCCAATGACCTTCTTTCGCCTTTCAAGTTTGCGATTCAAGATGACTCATCTAACTTTTCTGTATTTCAGACATCAAGACGGATCAAATGACTAGTAAGTGTTAAACATGAATGAAAATTCCCACTGTTAAAAAAAAACAAAACAAAAACTCGTTACATTTCTGTTTTGTATCACCAGCAACATGTTACAGTGACAGAGGGCGTTTTTATCAGGGTAGCGTGAACGTGACAAGGTCCGGCATACCCTGTCAGCTGTGGGATCAACAGGTACTCATCTACAAGCGTGTACTGTAGTAGAAACATTGAAATTACAAATACATGCCCGCATGTAAATAATACATGAATATTAACAACATGTTTAAAAACAGAATTTAACATTCAGTAATTATTATATACAGCCGATTGCACCAAATGTGTTTACTTCAAACGTTCAGTTGCAACCAAATACAGAAATTGTTTTTAGTATCTTATGATGAAAAGGTCATTCTAACCATTTTAAAATGGAATGCTTGAGAGCCAAACATTCACGTTGTAAGTTGCTTTGAGACATCAGAAAACAAAAATGAAAGCCATCAAATTGAGTACGTGCGGAACATCATGTTCACGTGAGTTTGAGTTCAGTTTCTTTGGTTCTTCTGTTGTTTCGTACTCATCTTTTGATGTCAAATTCAAATGTTTGCAGCCTCCAAATGAAAATCAAGGAGTTGGCTTCACTTTTGGAATAGCTTTGCGAGGGAGTGTATGCATATGGAACTACTTCTGTCATCCAATGATGCAAAGTATTACATTTGCAATAAGCTTAAAATCAATTTAGTTCCATTCCGGCGAATCAGACTGATTTGTGCCCGTCTGTGTTTTCTATCATACATTTGTGGCTCTTTCTCGGAAAGATGGTGTAAAAGCTCCTTTATGTTTTTATGGCTTTACTTGGTAAATTTGTGGCTCTTTCTCGGAAAGATGGCGTAAAAAAGCTCCTTTATGTTTTTATGGCTTTACTTGGTAAAACTAGTCTCTTCTGGTGAACTCGTGCTTCACTCCTGTGCAGTTTGTGCGTGTCTGTCTGTGCGAGCTTGTTGCCAGGTCAGCAGGGAGGGAGGGTCTTGTACTGTCACATCCTGCCTCTGGAAGCAATTAGCTTTCACACGCAAATCTTGCACCGACTAACACAAACACTCACTCATTCACTCACAGACCCGCACACATTCTGCGTGGATTGTTCGTGCGTTTGGAGGTAACGACACAATCTGGAATGACGCAATCCTCAGGAAGCAGTTCAATATCTGCTTTCCCTCATAGGTTGATGAAAGACTGGCTAATTTTTATTTATTTTTTTTTTTGAGTTAAGTTTCTGTTTTTTTCTGATAAAGATTGCATTTGTGGAAAAAGAATTTTCTTGATTGTGAAGTGGTGATGTGTTGATTTTGGTGGGCTATAATACATAATACCAACTTGAATGATGCAGTGTTCGGTATTTCATTTCGACAATATGGAGCTTGTTGCTGCAGAATATTGCCCAACTGTATGATTTTCTGAGTCAATAAAGTTGTGCAATGAGGCAGAACGGGCGAAAACATGTCACACCTTTTTGCAATATAACTGGTGGTATGTGAAACCGTTTTTTCACGCTGTATCAAAGCGCCATATGTTGAGTATTTAAGTTGGCCCTTTGGTAGAAACTTTCTCCAACCTCTGCCATTATCAAAACAAAACCTTCCTCATTTGGCCCTCAACAAGGTCTCCAAAGGTCCACTTACCAAAAGTTTATCTGTTTTGTGTAAGTGTCCTTAAAAGTGTTCTAAAGCCTGCAGAGACTCTCTTGACCACTCAAAACACGCCTTGCCTCTCATTCCGCTGTACATTGCGTCAACGCAGGTTCCTCATCAGCACCGCTTGTCTGTGGATGCCGTTCCAGAGTTAAAAAATTCGGATAACAACTGTAGAAACCCAGCAGGAATCAGCGACAAGCCGTGGTGCTACACCTCAAATCCGAACATACGTTGGGAGTATTGTGCTGTACCACAGTGTGGAGAAGCGGGAGCGGGATCAGGTAATTATTGTTCTGTCTTTCTCAAGAATAATATTTCAGCTAGTTGCTTAAAACTTTTAAAACAGAAAACTGCTGATTAGGATGTTGTGAACTCACTAGAGGCTTCCCGAGCCAATTATGGCACCTCACATATGACGTCATAAACCACATTGGACTAACCTACACATAATTAGGTGCGTGACTTGAGTTAGGCCGTTCTGTCACTTGGTCTTCTTTGTCTCTCTGTGCCCTTTTACACTGACCAGTTAAAACAAGTTAAGACCGTAGAATCACACATGGGAAGATACCAAAACATTGTTTAGGTGATCCTGCGTTCCTGCGTAGGCGCGGCAAAGGCACCATACGATAATAGCGATTGTTTTGGAGAGGACAAATCGTTTCCTGCGTCTGGCAGAATAGGGCCTCATGGCCGTGTCGCGATCTTTTTGGCATCCATTAACCCTTTCATGCACCCTGTAACCTGATAACACGATAAGTTGTCCACTGTAGTAACTGCTGTCCCTGAAATGGGGAGAACGTGAAAATCCGACACAGGAGCGATTCAAACTCAAGCAGTCTGTGAGACACGCTAACCTAGCGCTAACTACTTGGACGCCGTGCTGCCATATTTACTTTCTATAGTTAACAAATTTGTGTTATTGCCGTTATTGTCATTAATGAATCGTATTCGTCATTTGATAACAATATTCGAGCGTTCCATTTTTTTTTTTTTTTTGCTTACATTTTAATCATCTTTAGGCTCCGTGTCAGTGGCTAAGCAAGAGCCAGCAGGTCCTCGTCACCTCCCTCCCACGACAGCATCATCTCCAGCATACTCCATGTCTGTCATTGTGATCATTCTGACTGTACTCGCCGCCGCGGTCTTCCTCACCGTCGTGATCGTCGCATGTCGCCGACGGAGGAAACAATGGAGACAACACAAGCGGTAAACGCAAAATGCAAAAAAGGGAGTTCTTTAGTGCACAAATCTAACTCTGTCTCTGTGTAGGGCAATGGAGAGCCCAACAATGACTGCTCTTCCTTCAGAACTCCTACTGGACCGACTGCACCCGAACCCCATGTACCAACGTGTTCCTTTGCTCCTCAATTCCAAACTTCTGGCCCTTGAATACCCCAGGAATAATATCCAATATGTTCGAGATATTGGAGAGGGAGCCTTTGGCCGAGTTTTTCAAGCAAGGTAAGATTGAGCCTGAGGGAAATGGATGAATACAAAGGCTGCAGTGATGAAAAGCTCGATGAACCTAACCAGATTCTGGTCTTCTCAAGAGGACAGGTATGGAATCGTGCAAAGCTCTTCCAATATTGCCAAGCTTCCGACTGATAGGGCTTTTCAAAAAATGTCCAGAACAATCCGTGTCCTTTGAGGATCGTAGGGATTGTCGTATCCAGTTTAAAATGTACCAAAAGCAATAACACACATTCAGAATAAAACTAAATGCGAGTTTCCGTCTGTCTGAGTCCATCAACAGTTCTGTTGATCAAATATACCAGTCGAATGTAAAAGATAGAATGTTGTTACAAAAGGCCATTAATCTATTGCGATTCTGTAACTAGGATAACTAACAGTATGCCAATGGACTTGTCTATTGAAATGGCAAAAGGGGGGGGGGGGGGGCGAAAGGGAAATGGTAACAATATTTCACTTCAGATGAGACAAGCTATGGGTTATTTGCTTCTAACATGGGCAAACCAAATGAAACCTGAGAGGATGAGCACTCGCTGAGCCATTTGCACGTTTCGAAGAGAGGTGTCATATTCAGTCCACACTGAATTGTAACTCTCCGATCAGTCCCTCTGATATCCGTGAATAAATATGCTTGATATGTTCGATAAGAGCTCAACATGTGACTGTTTGAATTGCTTTAGCTTCGATGTTGTTACATTTATATAATTAAAGATATGATGCCCTTCATCGAAGCTGCCATATAGTCCAGGAAACTCCCAAGGGAACATAACACATGTACTGACCTTGAATCGCTCTCTTTCCAACATATCCAGACATTCAATACTTCACATGACAGGACACGTGGGGCCCTATTTTCGTGCCCAGGGCATGACTTGTCCAAAGTGCGGTCGAACCGGGTAGAGTTTTCTTTCTTTTCATATTTTAAGAAACTGGCATTTGCACCGTTGTGGGAGAGAACACTAACGACATGGCCAATGGAAGCGACCCCTCTCCTTCCCATTAAATTCCGCGCCGGAGATGCGCATGATCTACAGCACAGGTGTCAAAGTCAGGGCCCGGGGGCCAGATCTGACCCGCCACATCATTTTACGTGGCCCGCTAAAGCAAATCGTGGGTGTCAAATTCCATGATGCTTGCTAAAATCTGTACCAAAATGCCAAATTGTCATGTGTCATAAATAATGTTGAGATTTTGTTATAATTTTGCTCCACTGTTGACTGATTTCAAAACTAGGAAACAATCAATTTTTTGGTGTACAAGTAATAATATAATGTGAGGATGAAAAGTTAATTCGGTTTCTGTTGTCATGGCCCTCCGAGGGAAGACGTAACTCCAAAGTGGCCCGCGACAAAAATGAGTTTGACACCCCTGATCTACAGCGTTGAAACATAAACTGACTCAATGGAGTCCATTCAGGAGATCCAAGTGTACAAAGTACGTTGATAAGGAACTGATCTCCTATTGACGATTCTATAAAGTTGGCCTTCAGTCTAAATATCCTTTCTTCTTTTAAATGTGTACAATAGATCAATTCTTGAAGATGTGAGTGAATATAAAATTGTTGCAGAGCCCCAGGCTTGCTACCGATGGAACCTTTCACAATGGTGGCTGTAAAGATGCTCAAGGAAGAAGCCTCAGCAGACATGCAGAATGATTTCCAGAGAGAGGCAGCACTCATGGCTGAATTTGACCATTCCAACATCGTGCGACTTCTCGGTAAGCGTACGCGCGTGGGATGAAACCAAGACTTCTCAAAAGGCGGCGTTCACGCCTGGAGTTCTCATTGTGTGACCGAACGCCAGCGTAGTCACTGAAAAGGGGCTCGAGAGTTAACAGAAACAGAAACAGAAAACCAGATCGAGAGTCACTGAAAGGGAAGGAGCGACAGAAGGCTTCCCAATTTGCACTTCAATACTCAATGTAGGAATAAAGTCGTATGGATCAAATTGAATTCCTTCACTCTCTGTGGGCACCGTAAACTAAATCCACCAGCGATAAACAATAATTCCATTTCAAGTCAGCATTCGAAGACTTGATCAATTATTCAGTAGGCTTTTATTCCAAAAGCAACAAAAATCCAGACGACTTCACGCTAATGGTATCAGCACTTTAGATGCACATGAATCACAATGGAATTGATTTGTTCAGTTAAGATGTTTACTTTATTTCATTTTCCAGGTATACAAGTCTGGTCAACAGATACACATACACTACTCACAAAAAGTTATCTGTATTGCAATGGAGTTAGCATATTGTGAAATTAAGGGAGGATCAAAAAGGCACAAAACCATTACGGGTGAACTTCACAGGTTCTTCTCTAAACATTTAAATTAGAACACTAACTGTTCAACGTTTCAGTACGTTTTGCAACTTGCCTTTCACTAAACAGGGAGCTGAACAGCAAAATTTACGACAGTTTAGATTTTTTTTTTTCTAGTTTCCGTGGTCAGATGTCAACTTTTATGGTTTTGGGTGACTCTGCTGCTGTCCTTCTGCGACACTGTCGAAACACTTAACAGATGGAAAATGTGTGTCCAAAGGTTGAAAGAAGGTTCAAAGATGTTCACCTGTAAATGTTATAGTGCGTTTTAGTTAGAACTGAAATTTCAAGAATCCAAATGGCCCTACTTTTTTTTTTGGGTGTGAATAGTAAAAGTAAATAAAATAGATTGCTTACAAAAAACAATACTTTGAAATTTCTGCATTTCCTGTGTGTAAAAAGGTTCAGATCACTTATCAATTGGCTACAGTCACTGAGCTCTTAATGCAAAACTGTAGATCCACTATGTGCCGTGTCTATTTCTGAACTTGCACACATCGCAAATGGTTTTGTCTGTGTTTATGTCTACACCGAATGTTTATTCACCCCCTCCCGTGAATGAACCCATTCTATGATATACCGGTAAAGAGAAAATAACTTTGCTCCTTGAGATTAATGACATCACGAATGTGCTTATGTGGTTGAATGTCATTGGTTTGTTCTTGCAAACCTTCCCGTTGGGGAATCGCGATCTCAAAAGCGGACTCGGATGATCAAAAGGGAACTTAAAAAAGATTGTCTGCTTTCATTCCGCAGGTGTATGCGCAGTGGGTAAACCCATGTGCCTGATGTTTGAGTACATGGCCCAAGGTGACCTCAACGAATTCCTGCGTCGTCGGTCTCCGACACGATCTGTGCGAACGGTCAGCCGCGCGAGCCTATCCGGTCGCAGTTTTTCTTCAGAGACGGAAGCCGGGCCCCTCTCTTGCCCCGAGCAGTTGTCAATGTCCAAACAGATCGCCGCGGGGATGGCCTACCTATCGGAACGCAAGTTTGTCCATCGAGACCTTGCGACAAGAAATTGCCTAGTCGGCGAGGAAATGGTGGTGAAGATTGCGGATTTCGGCCTCTCCAGGAACATCTACTCAGCTGATTACTACAAAGCCAATGAAAATGACGCCATACCCATTCGCTGGATGCCCCCGGAGTCTATTTTCTACAACCGTTACACCACTGAATCGGATGTTTGGGCTTATGGCGTGGTGTTATGGGAGATCTTCTCCCACGGCATGCAGCCTTACTATGGCATGGGCCACGAGGAAGTTATTTACTATGTCAGGGATGGTCACATCCTTTCCTGCCCTGAGAACTGTCCTCTGGAGCTATATAATCTAATGAGGCTTTGTTGGAGCACGCACCCGTCGGATCGGCCCAGCTTCAACAGCATACATCGAATTCTGGAGCGGATGCATCAAAATATGCAGAGCACAAATGATGATACCGAGGTGGACTGTTAATTTTCTTATACCGCCGATAAGACACGACATAAGACCTGAGACTGGCATAGAGCAGAATATTGCTATTTTGAGAAACCCCCAAGATGATGTTTACACGGTAAAAGGAAAACTTGCATATATAATGCAAAACCAAATTTATTCCCCACATCACAAGATGATTATAAGTTACCATTGGCCTCTATAATAAGAAGTGGTGCTCAAAATGGCGGCAGTTAGGCTTCCAGACATTTACAGTATGTGGATGGCGAACTACCGCTTGAGTAACGTTGGCCAGAGTGTCCAATGGGATTGCGGCACATACATGTTTTTCCCCCCGTAGGTACCCTGAAAGGATGTTGAGCAACGTAGCAAAGTTGATGATGGCCCGTAGACAAGAAATCAGAAACGCATAATTGTTGGTTATGATTGAAAGTGTTTCTGCTGTCATATTGAGTGCCTTTTTTCAATTTTCATTTGGGATTTTAGTTCCTACATTTTGAAAAGATTACGTTTTTACTCTTTTATGTAGCAATGCTTTGTGTGCGTGTGTGTGTGTGTGTGTGTGTGTGTGTGTGTGTGTGTGTGTGTGTGTGTGTGTGTGTGTGAGAGTTCAAAAAAATACTAACATAAATAGCACTAGGCATTAAATATTTGTATTGTCAGCAAATGTAAAATAATTTCAATACATCTTTATGTATACAATATTACAAAACAGACCACTTCCTGTTGTGTTTTTCCATACTTCAAATCGATACTTGTTATATAGCACGCATGTGCATTTATATTTGAAACATGTTACGTTCATACTTGAATGTGCATAAAACTACCTGTTAATGTATTTTTTCTAATGTTCGCGTTTACTTGGGACAAACGTGCCTTCAGCAGCCGCCGCCGTATTCTCAGCACTCGGCTGCACCTCATAGATAGTAAACAGAAACCAGAGGCTCCCTGACTGCTGCTGCGTCTGGTGTGGCTTTTGTGGTCGGTGTGGTCGAAGCAGAAAAAAAAGCATCTAAATCCACAGACACGGCCGCAGAAAATGACACGTGTGCAAAAATGTGATTTCAAAGCTAGATTCAGCATGATTTTGGGATTCAAAGCGTGTGCTGAGACAAGCGCATAATACTACGGAAACAAATCACAGAAGGGCTTCATTTTCATCGGGGTTGCGCTGCTATTATTGAAGAAAGTAGCTTGCGACTCAAGAAGTACGTAAAACGTGGAACACTGTAAATCGTGTACAATATGTGAGAAACTTGACCTTGTGAATTTGGTTTTTCACTACAAGATGGTTCACATGAGTCAAAAGCATACAACAAGAATGCTGCTTTTCTGTATGTGAATGTGTTTTTTTTTTTGGGGGGGGGTATGGATAAAATATTGCTGTTGTACTGTATGCGAATGATTTTAGGGGCTTAAAAAGAACACATTTTTTTTGTCATTTTTCATCGCAGGCATGAGTCCCGCTTGGTGGTGTGTTTTGAATTTCAGTGAGGGGGTTGGGAATTAGGATGTTGAGAGTAAACTGTTTATAGAGTTGGCAGCGTGCAGTTTGGCCTCTTCTCGCTGATCTAAATTGTTGTCCTCACTCTTTTCCCCTCCCACTCTCTTTTCCGTCTGCACTTTGACTCCGGTATCTCCGAATTTGGACGGTGACCATCCATCCTTTTTCTCCTTGTCTTTATTTTACGCCATTTGTTGCCATTTGTTGGGATAGGAATTCAGACGTGAAAGCTGATGCTCCTTTTTTTTTATTGTACAGTCTTAGGGTGTTCTTCAAGGCCACGTCATATCCATCATGCAACAGGGAAGAGAAACGGAATGTCTTCGGCAAGGTGTTCCATTTTGATCTTCTGATCTGCGACGCAGGCCTGGCGTGATGCCGAAATCCGTTTTTTTGTCCACCTCAATGGAAGTGCCGCAGCCAATCGTGGAGTTTGACTCAGAAATGACATCTCATAACATATCCATTAGCAAAATGGCCATATGTCACAACCTCACTCTTGGTCAATTAGCTGATTATGCTCCTGAAAACAAAGGCTCTATCTAAATGGACTCACTCACCTTCCTATCATCGCTCCGGCTGTCACTGCTAAACAATTAGAGGAATTGTTCATAAAAATCATTTCCTGTTTTGTCCTTATCATCTCCTGCCTGACAATAGGCCTCCGTCTTCACCTCCATAGAAATGGGACAATGTTGCAAAGGAAGTCAAATAGGCTTTTTTTTTTATGTTGAAACATCAGGACTGTTGTGCAAAAGTTCAGCAATTCCGAGCGCATGTGGACAGCTTCACTTCTCATATCTTGTTTTTCACATTTCTAATAGATTTAGTTGGCAACTGGACTTGCTGAGTCGGCCAATGCAAACATTTAACTAAACAAAAAAAAAACATCTCCCCATGCAACCGGGCACTTGAGCAAGCATGCTGGGAACCGCGGAAAGTATCTGTATTGACATTGTGAGGAAGATATGACATCCCATTCACTCAGTGACTGCCCACAGGAACACGTTTGGGTGGTTGCGCTGTCTGCGATTGGCTCATTTGGGTAGCCACAGGAAGTACCAAGGCATATATCAGTCAACCGGAGGCTAACACTCCAATTCTGTGGAACAATAAACATGGTAGAGTTTGCTTAGCACACACATCTGCACAGTGTTATTCACACTTAGCGGCCGCTCTGCGGATTGCCACGTTAGGTGTATGAATGTAAATTTAGGACTCGTACATTCTTTTGATCCTATTCTCCCCTTTTGTCCATTTTAGCTTTTAATCTTGTTTTTAATCTTCTTCTTTTTTTCTTATTTTTTTATTTTTTTATACGTCCTAGGATCTGTAACACAGCGGCATTCGGAGCATTGCTGGGTAAGGCCTTGGGTTTAAAGAACAACAGATCACATTCATTCAGTTGAATGACACTCCACCACTAAGGTTGAACGACTTGACCATGAACACCAAATTGGACACTTGGACGCTTTACTTGGCCCGCTCTCGATAGTGCAAGAACAAAAAAAAAAACCCGTTGCAATTTCGCATTCGCCATCTGGTAAACTACTTCCTTGAGATTTTTTCCGATGCTCGTGTTGTTATTAGAGAGACGTTCAACCAAATTTCATGCTGATTGCTGATACAGAACTTAGGTGCCTTTGCTGTGACTTAACCCGATGTCGGTGAGACACTTTTACAACTCACACTTTTTAATCTTGAGATGTTCTGGTTTTTCTGTTCACACACAAGCATGCACACAAAATTACACAAGAATGTGGCATCCACTTTAAAATTGGTTGCATGATTGCTCGATTAGATATATTCGACTTATGTGATCGGTGACACCGAAAATGTCATTGTATCAAGATGTTGACAAATTTTTATGTTTGCAACACGGCGTTGGTATTTTGTGACCTTATTCATACATCAGTGATTGATTGCTTTAGATCTCACGTTCAGTGTGTGCTTTGGCTCAGAGAATTGGAATTTGTGGAAAAAGTGACACTTTGAAAAGACTACGAAGCATTACCTCGATGTCTGGCTGGAGCCTGGCAACATTTGGTTAAGTGTGATCATCTGCACGAATTGCAGGAAGAAGAAAGATTCCCTTTGGTACAATACAGCTCGTACGCTATGTCCGCTTGTGCTGATTTGAATGCTTTGATCCATTTGACTTGATATTCCCTGGACTGTATTTCTTGTTCGGGTCCATTTGCATGTGGGGAGGGAATAGATATGGACTTGAAATCTGACACAGCTCGGCAGCTCTTAGGCCTTTTTTTTTTTTTTTTTTTTTTGGACAACAGATGAGAAACATCTGTAATTCCTCTGTGCAATTTGCATGGTCCCGTGCTTGCGTGGGTTTTCTCCAGGTACTCCGGCTTGCTCCCGCATTCCAACAACATGCATACTAGCTTCATTGAAGACTATAAATTGTCTGAAGATGTATGCATGTAAGTGTGAATGGCCATTTGTGTTTAGTCTAGGGGCCCCGTGATTTGCTGGCAACCAGTCGATGGTCTCCGCCACCTCTCTCGCAAAATCAGCTGCGACAGGCTCCAGGTCACCCACAACCCGAGGAGGATAAGCAGTACGGAAAATGGATGGATGGATGTACTCGTGTAGTTAGTGAAGACAACCAAAACAACACAACCCAACAATTTCTTTTCTTATTTATTTTTTCCTTCAATAACCCCTCTTGACATTAACTTACTTCAGAAACTACAGCAAAGAAGAGTATGTCTAGAAAGTGTTTTATTTTTCATGTTATGATGCAGACTATTATTTGTCTTGACTCTTGAGAAATGTCTGTAATTGATGTTGGAACATACAGTTTGATTATTTGGGGCAAGAGGAAAGTACTGTTACCCTTTTACAAATGCCAAGTGTGCAGTTCGGTGAACAGTAACCAAGATGTGAACATATTCGATCATAAAGGTGCTTCTCAAAGGCATAACTTTGCATGCTTGGACTCTGGATTATTCGTATTCATTTATCACTGGTTGTACTGAAGCAAATTTTAAGGCTCGCTTAAAGGGGAGGCTGCAGAAAGCACAGACAAAGTAAGCGAGTTTATAACTTCAATAATGTCTACAGGAAATTAATTACACAAGAGATCACGGCACAAAAACCTCCTACAGTACTTTTGAACAGGATATAGCAGTTAAAATGTACACATGAAAGCACAATCCCTTTGGTGATTCAATTTGAATACAATATTTATATACTGTACACACATACTATACACTTCAACACACACACTAACTCATTGAACCAATATACATACTGGTGTGCTGTTGGTTGACTATATGGTGCTCTCCGTAATTATCGCCAACCCTGGTAAAGAAGTGTTGAAAACTTTCTAATCAATATGTTTATTTTTAGCGCAGGAGCCGACATTTTAGAAATGGTTCACCAGACAAGGCTCTCCCATGGCCATTCAGTCCCCTGACTTCAACTTTTAAAGGTTGGGTTTTCGTCTTGGGTGGGGGGTGGGGGCGAATTCATTAGAAGCTAAAGAAAACATCATAACCATGGGTGCCGATAATTATGGAGGGTGTTTTATATCTGGTAACAACAAATATGGAGGGCCAGGTCCAGGGATGCGCAATTTTGATCAGTGAAAAAGTGTGGCACGCTGCTGGAACACAAAGTTGCCTAATTTTGGTCTGTGGCTCTTCAAATCATTACACCATTGTCTGACCTCTGGAGTATGTGAGATATATTCATTCATTCATTCATTTTGCGATCCGCTTATCCTCACAAGGGTCGCGGGGGGTGCTGGAGCCCATCCCAGCAGTCTTGGGGCAGTAGGCAGGGGACACCCTGAACCGGTTGCCAGCCAATCACAGGGCACACACAGACGAACAACCATCCGCGCACTCACTCACACCTAGGGACAATTTAGAGTGTTCAATCAGCCTGCCATGCATGTTTTTGGAATGTGGGAGGAAACCGGAGTACCCGGAGAAAACCCACGCAGGGGAGAACATGCAAACTCCACACAGGGAGGCCAGAGCTGGAATTGAACCTCTGCACTGTGAGGTCGACGGGCTAACCACTGGACCACCGGGCCACCCCATGTGAGATATAATACAAGCAATTTATGACTACATGGGGAGATATGGGATGTATTACAAATATGATGTGCCTGTTCAATTCAGGCATTTTAAATTCGGGTGGTCATATGGTAGAATAGTCAAGGTGAAGTGGTATTTGTTGTCAGAGTTACAATTAGAGTGTTGCATAGAGTGCTCAACATACAGACTCAACAATGGAAAAAAAGAAAAAAAAGTTAGCCTGCATTGTAAATAAAACAATGGTCCTGATTTAAAGACTCAGAAGCAGGATTCAAACAGTGGTCCCTCTGAGCAACATGAATCCAAACACACAGACAAAACCTTCATTCCTCGCCACATGCTGCATTTAAGTCTGCAGTTACCCAATCTAGTTGAAACACAAAATGGCATGAATTAAATACATCTGAAAATGCAGTTGAGTTTGAAAACATGTGCAAATTTAAACCATGATTTTAGCATACAGTCAACAACTCCACTTTAACCGGTTTCCATTCAGACTACTTCTACGAAAGACACAGCAGCACAGCATTTTAACTAGAAAAAGAGGGGTGAGGAGAGTTTGCTGCTGTTAACCCTTTGAGGGACAACAGTTACTACACTGGACAGCACAGGTGTCAAAGTCAAGGCCCGGGGGCCAGATCCGGCCCCCCCACGTCATTTTATGTGGCCCGCGGGAACAAATCATGTGTGTCAACTATCATGATTCTTGCTGAATTCTGTACCGAAATGTCAAATTGCCATGGGTAATAAATAATGTTGAGATTTTGCACCGGCCCTCCGAAGGAAGCCATAACTCTGACGGGGCCATAACTCTGACGGGGGCACCCCTGGTGGACAGATTATCATGCTACCAGGTTACAGGGTGCATGAAAGAGGTTAAGTGAGTCGCTGATGGTGTAATGGTACACTTGCCTGATTTGTGTGCAGGCAGCGTGGGGTCGAGTCCCACTCAGTGACGATCTGGATGTGGGTGTGAATGGTTGTTTGTCTCTATATGTGCCCTGCGACTGGCTGAAGTCCAGTTCAGAGGATAGTCTGCCTTCTGTCCAAAATCAGCTGGAAAAGACTCCCGCAACCCACTTCAGGATTAAGTGGCGTTGAAAACGGATGGATGGATGCTATTAATTAAGTGTCAGCCATGTAATGTTTCAGGGAAACTGCAAAAATTCAGAGCAAGTAAACAGTCATTTTAAATAGGGCACTCGCTTACAGTTCTTCAAATGTTGAGTAAGATTTAATGATCGATAATATTTCGTGTCATTTTTCCATGTTTTACAGTGTACAGACACCCAGATGACAAAAAAAAAATAAAATCCTTCTAAACAAACGGCTGTCGGTGAAGTGACTTGTGTAGGAGCACGATAAAAGGCCTCCCGTTTCCACAGAGCAGTACAATTCTGTTTGGTGTGTTAAGAACTGTTGTGTATCCCACATATCAGTTATCTTTCATTCAGGTACTCGCCGCACTGATACATTTCGGTACACTTGCAAAAAGGCGACGCATATACACTGCTCGTCATTGTTTGGTTAACAGAGAATTGTGCTAGCATTGTCTTACTTTTTATCTTGTAGAAAACCAAAAAAACAAAAAAAATGTGGATACGATTTGATCTGCTGCACCATCTGCAGTGGATACTTTAGCCCGATCAAAGTTGTACCGTGGACAAATAAACATCGCTGTACTTGTCCGGATCTCTGTTAGTTTTCAATCTGAAGATGATTTTTTGATGTTGTTGTTGTCAGTGACCTGTAGAAATGCTGGAGTATCGTAAACACTGAAGCTCAACCATACCATCACTTTAATCATTTCAATAGATAAAATTCATCGCTTATGCATCTATGTACATCAAATTTCAACTTGACAATACTGTGTGTGTAACATTCAATCTCGGGTCAAAAGGATAAGTGAGCACACAGCTCAGCGCTCTTGTTTTCCAAAGCCAGACTGTGATCTCATAAGAGTGACCTTTTCCCCAAATAAAGGGCTTTCATCAAAATGGAAATCAAACATCGGGACATGCAGGCTGTGGGACCTCAGATACTGTGGATTTCAAACTTAAGACTTTCACAGAATCCACTTCACGGTTCTCCTTTTTGGGATGAGTCACTAAATTCATTTCACTGACGATGAGATACTTTTACTGTTTTGCACTATTGTGACCTGAGGCCTCTTTTGATTCACGGACACAAAAACAAAAGATAAAACACCAAGAGGCACACAAGTCATCACGTCTCATGCGCTCGGCTAACACAACACGAAGAAGATGACCTTCGCCTTCTTTTTTGTAGAACACAGCGGGTCTTAGCCTGCATGCGGTAAACTGCTAAACAACCTCCTCGCCTTCTTTGGTCACATCCGAGAACAAGTTATCTTTAATTCCTTCGAAGGGAAATAAACAAGCTGTAGGATTTCTTGCAGCTATTTGACTCCATTTTTTTTAAAGTTAGCTTACAGTCTGAAGCGGTTCAGTTGATTACTTTTGGATGCTCCTTGGTATCTTAACCTTTTCAGGGATAGCGGTCACTACAGTGGACAGCTTATCGTGTTATCAGGTTAGAGGGGTGCATGAAAGGGTTAAAATATGTTTCGACTGTATCGAACACTGTTACCATCAAGTTTGAGATTCCCAAATTTGATTTCAGTTATGGTTGCGTAAGATTAGCGATGAAGAAGTTCACATGGTGGGTCAATTTAGGTCTAACGGGCGAGGAAAATCAAAATGAGACAAACAGTCTGGTTGCAATTTAAAAGGTGAGTCATCGAATCGATGAAGTAATCTTCAGTGTTATTGTTTCGCTGAGCTATAGCTTCCTACCACATACGGATGATGTCATGGAACCCCTTTTGGTCCCAATGGACAAAACCAATCTTGTCACTAACGGCTCTTCAGTGAAGCGCAGACCTTTGCCAAGGCCGAACTGTTTGACAAAAATACAAAAGAGTGGACAGCCTTACTTGTGTGTAGCTGTTGTTTTATTAGCTAGTAGGCTACTTTTTGGTTCGGTGAGTCTGACATTAGACGTAACGAATGGATGGATATGAACTGACTGGTGCTAAAGTGGTGGCGAGTGCAAGTGAATGGGACTTTACCTTTTCCAGTCAGGGGCAGGGGGCGAAACTTTGTTTTACCGAATCCTGCGAGATCACCCATAAACAACGAACACAATCAAAACGATAAGTTTGGCCTTCGCGCATTTGTGCTTGGTAAGTAACTGGAATATAACGTTAAGAGTAAACTGAAGAGAGGGCGTATGTTATACTGGCATTCTGGTAATTTCACAGACGCAACAGTTTGTATTAGCATTGCCAATAGCAACACATTCCACACAAATAGAAAATATGTCATCAAGGAAAAATACTAACAGCATTTCAGAGTCATTGAGGATGTCTGATGGCCCGTCATCCTTCAGAATTAGTGCTCTCCTGTCATCCACCATTAAAGCGTCCATCTTCCTTCCACAATCCCTTACATGGGATCGTGTGTTCACATCACGTTTGGAGTCGCTTGACCTTCACGTACGGCTTCCCCACATTCTCCCCGTCGTTCTCTCTCACGCAGAGTTCAGCCACCCCTCGAGACTTTATACCACCGAGTGTTCGTTGTTGTGATGGTGATGCATGCCGCCGCTGAGCACCGTGTGGTTGATGGACGACGCCGATCGGTCGGACCCCTCCGCTGCCGTCCCGTTGACGTTCTCCTGCCGTTGGCAGCACAGGATCTGACGAAAAGTGGCGCTCATCTCCTTATCGCGGTACGAGTAGATGATGGGGTTCATGGCGGAGTTGAACTCGGCCAGAAGCAGGAAGAACTTTTCATAAGTGAGGACGTTGCAGCTGGCACAAAAGACGTCAAGGAGAAGGATGACAAGACCT